TCTAGGGCAGAAAACCATAAAGACTACTGAGGTTGTTCCAAAGGATATACAGATGCTAACTTGAAGGGGCTCCCAGAGGCCAAGGACTGCACAATTGGAACATCAAAAAGAATAATGACTGCAGTGGATTAAAGCACAACAAACATATGAAAAGCCATGCATTCACTATGTTTTATTAAATGTATTGGTCACTATTCCACAGAGACACTGCTGCTGCTGCTAAGTCACTTCAGTCGTGTCCGACTCTGTGCGACCCCAAAGACGGCAGCCCACAAGGCTCCCTGTCCCTGGGATTCTCCAGGCAAGAACACCGGAGTGGGCTGCCATTTCCTTCTCCAGGTAAATAAAGCTAAAGAATCACCAAAGAAATAATGGTCACTTGGAGAACTGGCCAAAGAGGAGGCTGGTCATTTGGTAAACTGATTTAGAGAAATTCAAAGAGAGAGACAGAAAGACTTCCCTGGTGGTCCAGTGGCTAAGACTCCAAGCTCCCAGTGCAGGGGATCTCGGTTCGAGCCCTGGTCAGGGAACAAGATCCCGCAAGCCACAGCTGAGATCCAGCACAGCCAAGAAATAAAAATAAATATTAAGAAAAAGAGAGAGAGAGAGACAGAGGGGAGAGAGAGAGAGAGATTGAGAGACAGAGATAAGAAAATGGATTCATGATACATTACACCATGAATTTCCCTCCTCAGCATCTTCTGCCCATCTCCTGCCCTAGAAGGTTTCTGCCACTTTATTCCTATGATCAGGACTAAAAATAGTCACTCCATACAATTTCATTTGAATGTATTACTTCTCTCATCAGATGAGATTTAACAAAATGCCTTCGAATTGCCACACTAAATTAGACTAACAAAGTTTGTTTTAAATCAGAAAATCTAACAAAACTCTTCAATGGGGATTTAAATTCAACATGCAAAGGATCTTACATGCAAGGATCTTACAACATGCAAAGGTTTTACTGACCATCTATGACTATATGCCAAATTGTTTAAGATATCATTATCTCATTTAACTTTTGTTAGTAGGTTTAGGAGAGGATCACTCATATTTTACAAATGAGAAACCGAGACAGGGCAGTTAAGTGACTTGGCTAAAATCATGCATTGAGTTAAGTGACAGATGGAATTCGAAAAAAAATCCATGGGCTACCTCTGGTTGCCCACACCAAAAAAAAAGAGATCAAAGGATGCTGGACATAGTCAAAGTTTGTGGTGATGCAACATTACTAAAAATAGCCCAGTGATGAATTGCTTGTTAACTATTTCCCTTGTAAGAAAATCACATGACTCTACAGGAATGTAAGAATAAGTTTATTTGGTATATGTGGCCTTGGGAAAATTATTTCATCTAAGATTTTGGAGCAGGAAGAAGTCATCAAATTCATTTTAGTTCAAATTATTGTTTTCTAGATTAGATACATACCTAGAGAGAAACAGAGAAGTCAGTGAATTAGCAGCATGAGGGTTAAAGGTATTAGCCACCTTAGATACCACCAGTGCCCTGCAGCGGTGATGGGGTGAGGGGGGTGGTGGAGCTTCAGTAGTAAAGAATCCAACTGCCAATGAAGGAGACACGGGTTCAATTCCTGGTCCAGAATCCTACATGGCGAGGAGCCGGTGTAGCACAACTACTGAAGCCCCGGTGCCCTAGAGCCCACGCTCCGCAACAAGAGAAGCCCCTTCAGTGAGAGGCCCGGGCGCTACGACTAGAGTAGTGCCCGTCTGCAAGCAAGCATCTCCTGCTTCCTGCAGTTAGAGAAAAGCCAGAGAAGCAACCAAGACTGTGCACAGCCAAATAAATAAATAAAGCCTGCTTAAAAGCCATTTCTCCTCCGTGAAATGCAACTCACCCTAACCCAAAGCTGCCACTGATTTACTTAAACAGCTTCTTCTAAACTTATTTCATAAGCTCACTCTCTCTTCCCAGATCTATAAGAAACTTAAGGTTCAAATTTGAGTCTTTGTATTTCCCCCCTACCTGCTAACACACACACACACACACACACACACACACACACACACACACACACAGCACACGCCATAGTACTCAGTGTTCAATGGAGCAAAAGCCAGTCTTTTGATACATGTATGCAGCCTCACCTCCACTATATAACACAACAAAACAAACGTCTATGGAAGGGCGAGGAATTTTTTTTTTAATGAAAAAAGAACTTTAACTTGAAAACTTTGTCAAGAGGAGAAATTAAAACTACTTTTAGATTCATCTTCAGATATATTTCTTCATTCTCCAAGTTATTTATATGCATAGAAAGGGATTTAAATACAAAAGATTAAATAAGTTCTCAAAAAATACAAATCTCTGCTTGGAGAGTGAGGATTCAATCCTTACAAATTCAAAAAGTCACAGTGAGTTTTAAAAAGAATTCTCAGCACTGTTTAGTCTTATTGTAATGACAAGTCATCCACTATTCTTAATCAGTCTGAGTATCTCTTGAAAATGCAGAAATTAATACTCAGCTGTGTCTGACTCTTTGTGACCCCTATGGACTATAGCCTTTGAGGCTACTCTATCCATGGGATTTCCCAGGCAAGAATACTAGAGTGGGTTGCCATTCCCTTCTCCAGGAGACCTTCTTAACTATTATTATTTTTTATCTGTCTGGAAAGGAAGGAAAAAGTATGTGAGCTAGAAATGAAAGGCCTTTTATCAAAATACCAAAGACTACCAAACATTGTATAAACTGGTAATGATAAAAAAAGAAAAACACACACTTGCTGTTGATGAAACCAGAGTGGCACTGGCATAGTGTGACACTGCTCCTTTAACCCAGATGTTAAAACACAGGATGAACAAATTTCATGATTTAGTTCTCGTACCCTCTTCACCCAGGTGGTCACACTCAGTGACCACTGCCTTGACCACATACCACTGTGGAACTCTGCGACCAAACACCCCTTTATTCTATTTTTCCACAGAAGTTATCTATCTAGCCTCTGACTGGACCAGTAATTAAGAGATGGCCTTGGTCAATACACACTCAACATGCATCAGTTCCAACCCAGCTCATCACTGTACCACTGCCCAGGAGACCTTGAAATCAAAATGGTCCACATGGAGGCAAATGGGATGATCTAGACGTCTCTGCTCCCTCGTCACTAGAAGGGCAGTATTTCCTGATATGTGCCCCGGGAAACACTGTTCATGAGAATGAATGCATTAAAAAAAAAAAAAAAGCCAGATTCCATGGTCAAATAAATGTGGGAGAGACCATACTCGGAACCTTCCTTTGGGAGTTCACAATGAACATTGGTATATTGCTGTTGTATAACTGCTAAGTCTGACTCTTTTGCAACCCCATAGACTGTAGCCCACCAGGCTCCTCCTTGGGATTTCCCAGGCAAAAATACTGGAGAGGGTTGCCATTTCCTCCTCCAAGGGTTCTTAGGGTTATGAAAAGTGCTACAGCAAAGAACTCTGTAGTATTTTAACTCAGCAAGTCCTAAATTTATTTGACTATGAACCTTCTTCCCAGTAACACCTTTAATATTTAAACACAGAGTGGGAAATGCTGAGATTACATTCGACAGTTATGTAGCTTCAGAGCTAACTACGAGACCACTGGTGGTTTCCCTATCCAAGGATCGTTGCTCAACAAAGGTTAGCATAGGGACTTCCCTGGTGGCCAGTGGTTAAGAATCCACCTTCCATTGCAGGGGATGTGGGTTCGATCCCTGGTCAGGGAACTAAGATCCCACATGCCCTGGGGCAATTAAGCCCAACCACACTGTGACAAAGACCCAACACAGCCAATAATTAATCAACTATTTTTTAAAAAAAGACAAAGGATGAAGGTGTGCTCCGGCACTTCGGTAGTGTCCAACTCTTTGCAGCCCGCCAGAGTTAGAGTAGGAATTAAACTAGAAATGGGATGTTCAGGATATCGAAATCCAAATTGCAATGTAATCTGTAAATTTTACCCTAATGTAAGGAAAACATATATTTCTTTAAAACCAACAGAAAAAAAAAAATATAGGTGACAATTACAAGGTCCAAAGCAGTACACTCTTTATAAAAAGATTTGTTATGATGGGCCTACAACTCAACAGGCATGTCTTTTTATGGGCAAAGTGAAATAGAGAACAAAATGATTACCCAAATAATTCAAGTCAACTGCTCTTTCTACAAATAACATAATTTTGTCTGTTAATTTAATCCAAGCTTGCTGGGTTTGAATGTGGACATGGAGGAGAAAGTGGGCGCCAAGGTCATCAGTAAAGTTCTTGCAATTCTCCACTTAACTGCTTAAATGCACTTTATTAATAAATAAAGGCTTAGGTACAGTTATTTGACCACCTTTGAAACCACTATGGAAATACCCAGAATATTCTATGGTATAATACACTGAAAATCCCAATATCTGAGAATTCATGTTCCCACATTACTGAGAACCCAATTTACTGTGAGAAGAAAGATCTGATCACTGGATACTATGGGTCCCTGTACCAAAATCTTCTAAAAATCAGTTTTCTCAAACATAAAACATCACCTGAGACAAAATTTATAGATTTCCTTTCTAACTTCAAGTACTTCCAGTAATAGAATTAAAATGTGTTTACATTTATGAAGGGAAAATCCTGATACCATGAAATTGATCTCTATTTCAGATTATCAAATTTTTTCAATTGAACACTGTCAGACTCATGTCAACCCATAAAAAGATTTGTTCAGGTTTAAGTTTGAACACTTTGCCTATTTTATTCTTTCAAACTGAGAGTCTTAAAAACACAAGTATGAAAAGTTCTCCCTTTTCCAAAACACAGTTGGTAAAAATGTCACACAGTAACACAATCTGAATCAAAGAGCAAACATTCAAAGACTTCCGCCTCCTAAAATCTGAAGGGGGAAGGTTGCTGTTCATGAACTTGAATTTTAACACTTTAATGTTAGAACAAACTTTGTCTTCACTCATTGCATTTTAGTTTAGTGGTCAAAAATGCTCATGGTTTCAAGGAGTTCTAATGGCAGTGCCTTACCAGTGTAGATGCTGGCATTGGAAGCTGGAATACCAAACTGTGACTCGATGAACTTGGGGATGAAGGTAATGAAAGCAGTTACAATGGCACTCTCAGCTGTGTATGACAAACTCACAAAAAGGAATGTCATGTTGCTTAAGATCCTGACAGCTGCTCTTGGTAGGTCTACAAAATGACAAAAATGACAAATGAATGTTATAAACAAGGGATGGAAAAGAAAAGAAAATTGAACTGCTTTTGAAATGAACTGGAAATAGCCATTCAGCAATATAGGAAAACCTGATAAATGATTAGAACTCATCCCCTTTACTAAATAGACTTGGGTGTTTTTTTCTTTTTAATTGTTCAGCTAGGATAAGGAAATTTAACAAAGAAGCTAAAAACATGCCCATACACAAATATCCTTCTAAGAAGGAGGCAACCTATGACTTCTGTTTCAAAAACTGCTTAGAATAAATGAACCACATTTTTTAAATTGATTAAACAATGTTAATCTTTGTTAAGACCCTGAAGACTATTAAATGTGTAAAGTACCTGCAATATAGCCCTAAATTAACAGTTTTCGCTTCACCCAACTAACACTTCTCTGAGTAAAATGCACTTCTGAGATGCCAGCTCTCTGGCCTGACATGGCAAATGCCCACAGCAGAGGAACTGGTACATGCTATTGGACATCTGTTCTTCCAGTCTCATAAAGAAACAGGAAATAATACAATTAGAAGGGTAGAAGAGATAAGATCACCAAGTCAGATACTTCCAGGGACTTTGGATTGAGGAACAAACAGAAATGATATCCGAAGGAGCCGGACGGCCCAGAGGTGGGGCTCTGTACTGTCCAGCTGCCTCTCAAGGGAAAGAGAAAAGTCTCACTTAAATCTAGGCATATATTTCACAAAAGCTGTCATATATATATGCTTCAAGATGCATGTTCAGTTTCATTGGGTTGGTGATGTTAGTTACTCAGTTGTGTTCGAGTCTGTGACCCCACGGACTGTAGCTCAGCAGGCTCCTCTGTCCATGGGATTTCCCAGGCAAGAATACTGGAGTATGCCATTTCCTTCTCCAGGATATCTTCCTGACCCAGGGATCAGACTCAGGTCTCCTGCATTGCAGGATTCTTTACCGTCTGAGCCACCAGGGAAACCCCAGATGTCCATTAGTGGCAAACATTTAAATAAACTATGGCACAGTCATATAATGAAATACTATGGAGTAGTTAAAAATTAAATAGAGCTTGGTGTATTGGCATGAAAGGAACTCCAAAAAATATTTTTACTAATGAAAAAAGCAAGCTGTGCAAAAATACATATACACGCATGCTTGCATGCTAAGTTGCTTCAGTCGAGTCTGACTCTGTGACCCTTTGGTCTGTAGTCCGCCAGGCTCCTCTGTCCATGCGATTTTCCAAGCAAGAATACTAGAGTGGGTGGCCATTCCTTTCTCCAGATGATCTTCTGGACTCAGATTGAACCTGCGTCTCTTGTGTCTCATGCATTGGCAGGCAGGTTCTCTACCACTAGCACCACCTGGGAAGCCCATATACGTGTGTGTGTGTGTGTGTTTATCTATGTATATATGTGTGTGTGTATATATATATAATGTTTAAGTAAAAACAAATGAATACAATGTGTTTACATATGGTTGAATGTATACGTTTCAATATATATAATACCGAGAAATTCTGTAAATAAGAGTAAGACTGGGAAAGAGAAACAAGAACAGATTCTTGAGTATATGCTTTTGTATTTTTTGCATATTTGTAATGTGAGTTAACCCACATGTGCATGATCTTTATACATCTTCATAGAAAAGGTAAGCTGCCTTACTTTTGAGATACAGAGTCTCTCAGTTATTAGAACAGTTATCTCCCTATGCTACAAGATAATAAAATAATTTCCTAAAAATTAAGCAACATCTATTATTAAAGCTTCCCTGATGTCTCAGTGGTAAAGAATCGCCTGCAATGCAGGAGACCCACGTTCAACCCGAGTCGGGAAGATCCCCTGGAGGAGAGCATGGCAACGCACTCCAGTATTCTTGCCTGGAGAATCACATGGACAGAGGAGCCTGGTGGGCTACAGCCCATGGGGTTGCACAGAGTCGGACACGACTGAAGCTACTAACCAGCAACAGCATTATTAAAGCTATAATTCATGGCCTATTCACTAGAATTTAAGACTTAGTTAGTCAAGACTGTTTATTATCATTTTGAAGTACAAACTGACTTTAACGTTCTATATCATAATTTAATTGCTTAAAGTTTAAATAAATATTTTAAAAGTAAAATTAAGATGCATACTTTATTTTTTTAACATAAACACACCAGAAAAAATATAAAATATTTCATAAAATAATCCAATATTCTCTTATAAATACTGAAAATCAAAATGTCATCTCCAGAATTAAAAATTAGAAAGTTAAGAAGATTTTCCCATGGACATTTAAAGATTCAAATTAAGCTAGCTGGTAAATTAAAAGCCAACGTGTTGAATCTAAAACATCTGTGAAATACACAATAAAACTTGCAAACCCAAGAAGATAACATATGTATAACATGAGTATTTTAAGATACTAGTTTTTGTAAGAAAAACTGGCTTTTCTTGTGTACCCATTTAGCATGATAAAATAGCCTTCTAATTTCAAAGCTAACTACATGTTGTGCTAAATACATGTCATGCTTTTCTCTCTTCTTTTATTAAAAAAAAAAAACTATTACTAAGAAGAATTTAGCAAACCTTCAGACTCTGAACAACTCTAAGCTAGTTTCCTTTTTTCTTCCACCTTCCTCTTCCCCTATTGTTCGAACTAACTTTTAAACTATATCCTATACAGGGGGTGACGGGGGTTGGGGGGTGCAGATCTCCAGGATTGTCTTTGGCTGGTGGGGCTGGTTATCTAGATAGATAGATAGATATGATAGATAATAGATGTGTGTACACATTTCCTATCTACTAACAGGACAGAAGTAATGACACATTGGTAGCAATGAACCCACCTGGCACCCAGTTCTTGGTTTCTAAATGCCACTTTCCACTAAAAGGAGCCAGAAGTCCCTGGCAGTGGGCGGTTTTGTCGCTAACTCATGTCCAACTCTCCTGATGCCATGGACTGCAGGCTCCTCTGTCCATGGGCTTTCCTAGGCAATACTGAAATGGGTTGCCATTTCCTTTTTCAAGGCGATTTCCTGACCCAGGGACTGAACCAGAGTCTCCTGCTTGGCAGGCAGATTCTTTATCACTGAGCCACCCCAAAGTCCTTGGAGAAATGACTAATTCATGTGTTACGTAAGCTTCCTTCAATTCAGTTCAGTTCAGTCGCTCCGACTGAAAGACTCCTTGCTACCCCATGGACTGTGGCGTGCCAGGCTTCCCTGTCCATCACCAACTGGATGGAATCAGCTTCCTTCAGGCATGAGTTATACTATTGTTGGCTGTGGGTTCAATATTAATGAATCAACAACCTATATTAAATAAGGTGTCTTTCAACAGAAACACAAGGTTATATATTGATTGACTGATGATTATATTGTGATGGGAAGTTAACCCGGATTTCCCCCAGAGCAATACTTCAGCATTCACTAACACAGTGTTTACCACAACTTTACAGAACAAAACTACCACAAATAACAAGGATCAACTGTATTTGTACTTAGTTGCTCAGTCATGTCTGACTCTTTAAGACCCCATGAACTGTAGTCTGCCAGGTTCCTCTGTCCATGGGATTCTCCAAGCAAGAATACTGGAGTAGGTAGTCATACCCTCCCCTTCAGGGGATCTTCCCAACCCAGGGATTGAACCAAGGTCTCCTGCATTGCAGGCAGATTCTTTACTGTCTGAGCCATCAGGAAAGCCATGAATACTGAGGCGGGTAGCTTATCCCTTCTCCAGAGGATGTTCCCAACCCTGGAATCAATCCGGGGTCTCCTGCACTGCAGGCAGATTCTCTATCAGCTGAGCTACCAGGGAAGCCCCAACTGTATTTACACCACCTCAAAGTACTTTCCCACAGAGTACCTATAATTTATTTATTGATTTATAAATGCAATATACTTGGTAATTTTGGAGTGCAGAGGCCTGGCAAATCCAATCCCATTCAAGATAGGAAACTTTACACAGCTGGAAATGGGGCAAATTAACATTGTGTGGCTTCTGTGAAGACACTGAAAACGGCATCCTTTCTGTGCCTACAAACAAGCATAAATCAGGAGGCAACATCATCAAATCCAAATTGAGGGACATTCTATAAAGTGACTGGCTTACAATTTTTTAAAAGATCAAGGTCATAAAACATTAGGGTAGATGAGGAACTGATCCAAATTGATGGACAATAACACACCACAACTAAATATTAATACAATCTGTGATGGTGGATTGGTTTGGACATAAAGGGCAATGTAGGGATAACAGGCAAAATTTGAATGGGGCCTATGGTCTAGATGGTAACACTGGATAAATGTTAATTTCCTGATTTCCATGGCTGCCCTGTGGTCCTGCAGTAGAGTAGCCTTGACTTAAGAAACACTGAAGTACTTGGGGTCAGTAACTTCACGAACGGGTCAGAAACATTAACAATCGGGGAACTGGGGCTCAGGGAACCCAGGAGCTCTATGTGCTATTTCTGGGGCTTTTATTGTAATTCAAAATTATTTCACAAAGACAAAGTTAGCAAAGAAGCTGCTGAATCTATCAATTTGCAGCCAAATGTTAATTTTTATGCTAATATATCTTAGATAAGTTTCTTGGTGTCATTTATAACTGTGTCATTGTGAAATCAAAGATGTGATAAAAAGAATGATGGAGGGATTTCCCTGGTGATCCAGTGACTAAGAAACCATCTTCTGATGCAGGGGACCCGGGTGCGATTTCTGGTCAGGAAACTAAGACCCCACATGCTGCAGGACAACTAAGCCCATGCAGCACAACTACTGAGCCCACGCGCTGAAATTAAGACCCAACATGGCCAAAAAATAATAAATAATTTTTTAAAAAAGAATGATAGGGGGACTAACTAACGGTAGTAATTATCACTTTTTTGATCACTGAATGCTAGGAACTCTTACCGATTCAATTACAAGGACAATCTGACACTAAAACTAGAAATGCCTTCAACAGCAGTTAATATAGGAATAAAACTTAATACAAACCTTCAAAATTCAAGAGAATACA